ACAAGTCCCGCCAGATTTCCCCGTTGCTGTGCGTGCGGCTGAAGACTTTCGAAGGGGGGCTGGCTACTGTGAGTCAACGGTCCTCGCGTCTGGCTGAGAGTGAAGGGCTAATGCAGTGGTAGGGAAATAGGACGTTTTACTCCGCGATCTTGGCAGTAGATAGGGAAATGGGGTTAAGCATAATTGTACTGGGGAAATTCTCATGTCTATGGTTTGATAATGGTCTATGCGACATCGACAGACCTTTTCTTGGGGGAGTTGATGTCAGCTCCAGTCATATGATGAAGGTTTTCATCGTTCATGCTCGGGAGTGTAGCGGGATGCCAGTCAATCATGCTCAATCGTTCTGCTAATAGTCGGGATCCAAAATGACTTACACACTTTTGAGGAATCACGCCATTCTACACCCAGCCAGTACATGAAGAGATATCCGGCACATAATTTACATTGGCTACAAAGATTTGGAATTCCTGGCACCTTAGATCGAAGCACCTTTTGATGTTATCACTTATTGAGTGTCAAATGGATGCACCGTACGCGCGCGCTCGGTTGGGGGAAGTGAAGCCCAAAACGTCCTGTCCCGCCTACCAATCATACAACGCGGAGCCTACTGTTTCGGTTTCTGAGGGCGTTGGATGATAGATTTCGAAACACTGCATCAAGTGTGAACACAGAGGTCGGTCTACATGTTCCTGTGCGTGTATCTTGAATGTACTCTAAACACCTTTAATATCTTTTCATCACTTATTGATGAACTTGCACCCTGGACCTTTATCTTGGCCCATGACAGATAATGTAAGTCCATTAGACAAGAACGTTGCGTTTGACTGCACTTAGAAAGCACCGCGGAGGTCATCAAAAGCAGCCTCAACTGGATTACAACCGAGGCATGGCACTCATTGCAGTCAGAAGGATATCAAAAGCTGCATCAATGCCACAGTGGGTCAAAATGTGGTCATTCTGCGCAGTAGTGGTCTCTACCCTCAGGAATAATGAAAACTGTCATTATACTTCCCCACCATTCAACTTTTCTACCATCCTCGAATTCCCAGTGTGATGAACAAGACTCCAACGTGAGGTGTGACTTCTCGTGGAGAATGGGAACCGCTTAAATAGAGAAAGGCTTACAAGTGTGTACATTTACCCGGAAGATCGCCATGACTGGAAAGACTCGAGAGCGTTTTGCAAGGCGAAGCACTCTCCAATCATCTCCAGCGTACCTTACACGAGCTTGTCTGACCATCCCAAAATCACATGATCGTCGGAGATAATTGACTCAAAGAATCACCAGGGCTCTGTAGCATCGCCTCGTAAAGACCTTCGGGCCTCTCTAAAAACTTCACTTTATCTCGAGTCCTGCAGTATTCCGCATTCACGCATCACCGTAGTCACTGCCACTCAACGAGACGTGAACACATCGTCCTTGGGAATGGGCTCGTTACTCTGTGAACAGATGTGGCTGCCCGGCCAATCTTCGTGTACTTGAATATCCAGCTGCGCTTGTACTCCTGCTGTATTCGCCATGTATCTCGTCCCCTGGGTGTGTTGGACATCCTTTCTTTCCCCGTCGGCTGCCCGACCCCTTGCGTCGATCCTTGCTGCCCATCGCACGGGAAGATGATCGTGAGATGCCTAACACTCTTCCCGTTCCGCCCAATTGTCCATCATCTCCGCCACACAAAAGATCTTCCATTGCTTCCAATTATCTTCAACGCCTTGCTTGTAGACTGAATTTTGCCTTAGGCTTAGTCCACGAGACATACTTGCGTCTGATGAAGTTCTTCCCGGCTCATTTGAGCAGCCATACACGGATGGTTAGAGACAAGCAGAGACAGCCACCTTCATATTACAGGCTCCCCTGGGAAATGCTTATTGAAGAATGAGGCCAATTTGAATCCTCTCGAGGCCTACCGGCAGGTATCGAATGATAAAGCATGTCCGCTGTGGAAGACCCTGTCAGATACACATGTGTGAGACCGGATATGGGATGTGAGCCCTGAAGACCCCTGAAGACATCGTCAATCCGTCACTGAACTTCAGTAGTAGGTCACGATGAAGTCTTATGAGACAATGTGGAACGAAGTTCATTCCCATTACCTCTGTAGCGCCACATTCCCCAACTCCAAGCCACAAGTATGGTTTCTGTTCTGGCCAACACCAAGTCTCAAATAGCACCACACAAGGGTTGCCCAACCTCGTGTTGGTTGAGAGCGCTTTTCTCGTATGATAATTCTTACCCAATTGACTGGTCCAGGCAACGCCGGCCGCTCCCTGAACCCAGGTCTACTTCGTTTGCTGCTTGCAGGGAGTTGAATAACAGGAATCTACTGGCATTTTACCACCAGCTGTGAACATTCCTCGTTCAATTTAAGCGGCTGATTAAGGGCCTGGAATGTCGCTGCCGTCGCCTTGGGGGCTGGCTGAACGAGCCAAATGTATGGGACTACCTGGAAGGGAGTCACCGCCGCTTCTAAGACATTGTGGCAGGTAGATAGCTGGCAAGTGCGACAGGCAAAAGAAACGATACGAGCCTAGCCCACCATCTCGGGGAGTCTCTACGCGCCCTCCTCCGACAGAACCTTTCACTGGATGCCGTTGCGCCCTTCGAATAATAAGGGTTCGGGCGCGATTGCATGCCGCCTACTGCGTTCTCTCCATCATCCGCGAAGTGCTCCTCAAGATTTGCAAAAGCTGGTTCTTTGGACTTCTATCTTGATGTTTGCGAAGATTGAGGGTGGCAAGTTTCCAGCCACCCTCGAGCCACCACGCTGCTGTCACCGACCGATGGGAAGGTGGCGCCACAAAGCTCGCCAAGCCAAAGGCGCAGGCCATGCCACACGTGGATTTGGTCCCAAGAAGTTGGTACCTGACTTCGGTAAGCGTGGGTCAAGGTAGGAATTGACAGAAAGAAAATCTAACGCCTTCCGAGTTGGCTTTATTTGGTGAACCGCTTGCGGCATATTTGGCCACGCACAGTTAATAAGCTGGCATTGTTTGCAAGTGCCGAACTGAAGAAAGAGCAAAGTTTAGACCCGTTCTTGGCATGTAAGACAGGCCGACTTCTAGAACAGCAGACGGCAATTGCTGGTAGGTGGTCAACTCTGAGCATCAAACTTTCTCGTGGACGGGATTAGGAAGGTGACTTTTCATGGCGACCACGCGGGTATTAAAACCTCACGTTGTCTTTGGTTCAACGTTTGTTCTCTTGGCACTCCAATCCATAACTCTGACACCAAAACTCTGAATCACGAGCAAAACCAGTCCTCAAGACTTTTGCCAGAATGACGCTCCCTCGCCACTCATTAGTCGCTTTAGTGACTGTGACGACCCTGGCTCGATACTGCGAAGCTGGAATGCAAGTTATGCTGCCAATCATCAATATGGCCAACGTCCCAGTCACCATCGACATGGATTTGGGGTCCAACTGCCTTCAAGATCCCAGCGATTACTCTACAGACGACCTCACCTCTTATTATGCTGCCTACAGAACAACTAGTCTTACCGACTCCTTTGGCTCTGACTTTAGCACCTACCAAGACTATTTAGACTACTACAAAAAGGTTACGCAAATCGGCGACATCGGGTCAGCTTTGGCGAACATGGATGGACAACATACCCTTGACGCCTACAACCCTGATGAGAGCCTCAGCCCAAGCTTTCTCACGTTCCAAACTGAGATTGACGGTGGTCTCTTTGACGGCTGCATCGGGTCGCACTCCTCCAAGACGTTCAGCCTGGACGTCGACGGCACCAGTTACCAGATCACGCTGGAAGACCCGCCAACATCGCAATGGACCATCACCCAGGACTCACCCGGTGACCCGAATCGCATCGTCATCGGATCAGGCGGCCGCGCAAACCCGCTTCTGACAGTCCTCTACGCAGTTTTGGGAGTTGAAATTCTCGCTCTCGCCGGTGCCGTCCTAGGATCTGCCCTGGGAGGTCTAGCTCCCGCCGCTGTGGAGGGAACCATCGCCGAGATGGGAACGTCCGAAATGACCCAAATTATTGAGGACAAGCTGGCTAGTGATCCATGGGTCATGCAGTGGATGGAAAAGACGATTTTCGGAGAAGCAGAGGCGGCAGCCAAGAAGCGCGCGTCCCCCGTTGCTCGACGTGGCGTTGGTGCGGGAGGTATTCTCCAGGAGTGGACGGCTGCATACGACACGTGGAATTACGATGATAGGGATGCCTGTGTCATGAGCAAAGATGTAATTGGCGAGTTGGATTGTCTCGTAGTTGGAACTTCGATTGTCATCCAGGCTGATGGTCAGCCCATGGCTATGCCTCTTCCACCTCTTGGGTCGGCTTGGTAGATGACTCTAGCAGACGAAAAGGCTGTTGAGCGCCAGATATAATTATTCATATAATCTCCGATACGACCCAAATATGAAAGAGATTCGTAATTATTTCAAGAAAGCTCATTGACAGAATTTCAATGAGCTCAGAGCCTATCGCTGAGATGCATTCCGTATAATGATGCTCAGAAGATGATATAAATTGATGCAGCTTTGTGGAATACATACAACCGTTGCCGCTGACTGCCGGGTGAAAGAAGGAGTCAAGGAACTTGGTGAGTCGAGACAAAGTCTCTCCGTCTGCTTTGAAGACGCTTCCAGAAAAGCTTCCAACTGAATACTTTGCCGTGAAACGAAGTTGAAAATGCAAGCCTTGCTGTCTTCGAACCATATAGTAAGACCTCAGACTACGACCTCGTAAATCTTGGGATATCCAACCAGGTGCTATCTGAGCAATCTTCAAGGTACCTTGATGATAACCTGGAGGAAAAGGTAAAATTCTAGCTGGAAGCTGTTTTACGAAAGTTTTAATTATGGACATTTCGGTACCAGACAAAGGAGATAGCTGTAATACAATCATACATACCCAGCTACTTGGCTTGAAAATTCTCAGCACAGGATTTTGACGACCATCTCCACATACTACCTATAACGACAAAACTACCATACACGCCCGAAATCAACCCACAATTCGAAACCAAGATGGCTCGAAGGAGTCGAAATCAAAGGTCAGGACCTAAGCGCCTTCAACAAAAGGCGGACAGCCACGACCTCGAGCCGGTGTCCCAACATCTGCAACAGGAGGCAAGCAAGAGTGGGGTTCGCTCTGATGATGCGGTAGTCGCACCCCATCTCCCAAAAGAGTTGAAGTGGGAAATTATTAGCTTTGCCATTGAACAGGCCAAGGCTTCCGCTAAGCCAGCTGCCTGGACATTGGAATCAACATGTCGCGAGTATATGGGCGACCCGCGTACACAACTCTTGATCGACACTTGGTCGAACCAGGAGGCAAGGAAAGTGGCGAAAGATCGTTTCAGACATTTTTTTAACCTCCTTCATATCAACTCTTACTGTCGCCAGCTTGCGGAAAAGGCTCTTCGTCCTTTCAAGTTCCCGTGCCAAGGCACGCCAAACCCGTTTACCTGGGTGTTGCCGCGTGTCGACACCTTCTTCTTACCCCCGGGACTCTATACGGATGCGGTTTGGACTATGCTTTACGCACCGAGCGCCGAGTGTTCGAAGCTCTGGGCCAAAGTCGAGAACGTCGCGTTTTCTGTGGAAATCCCCTCTGAATCGATGAATATACATGCCCCTCAGTTCCACGCGCTGGCCCAGTTACCGAATTTAAAGACGCTAGAACTGGATTATGCGTCTCTAAAATTTGAAATCGAAGTAGGGGATGAAGAAATCAAAAACGAGCCGAACTATGTCCAACTTGACTACAAGAATGGAGCTTATTGGGGAATCTTTTGCAGACCTCGAACAATGGACTTCTTCAACGATCTGAAAGAAAGGAATGTACGGGTAACAGTAAGTGTCAAAAGCCAACAATGTCTCCTTCAGAGTCATGCGGCAGTCATCAAGGCGTGTTCGCAGGCGGTAACCTGCGATGCGGATGGATGGATAACAGTCAGAAGGAAAAAGGAGAGACGTCACGGCAGTGCAAGCAAGACTGAGAGGCAGCGTCTCACAGGAGACACAAGCCCCGCATTTCAGTATAGCTACGCTCTACATGCAAGAACTCTTGTACTAGATTCAGGGCAAGCGTCATGATTTTCTGCTTCACCATGCTCGGTTGAGATCATCCGTATAAAGGGAGGTTAAAGCCTGACCAGATGGTCTGAACTGGGGGTTTTATAGAATTGATCTATGGTTAATGACAGATCTCCAAAAATCGAGTGCCGATGGATGTCACATCACCCCGTCATCTCTTATGGGCTACCTGAAGCCCCGAGAGAGTCTTAGCATGTGGTCAGGCGGGTAATGGGAAGGCTGACAGCTGAATGTAGTTCTCGAATGGAAGGAAGATTTTGTGACGAGGACAAAAAGAATCAAAAAAGTTTTCCAATCTGAAGAACACCAAGTTTTGATAGTGAGAACCAATGATCTGGGGGATGTACGTGCCATGGTTGCAAGGCGCTTTGTCTATATTGAATCTTTTTTTGTCCTCTGGGTATCTTTCTTTATCTCGTCGTTTCGTTCTCTCTGCCCATTTCTCTCAGTCATCCTCAGCAGCTTTGGCAAGTCTCTCTCGGACCATCGCAGTGAATCCATCGCCATCCTTCACGTTGCCAACGGCGACCGTCTTGTCTCTTGACTTGAGCCCCTGAGTGATGGTCAGATCGGACTTTGGAAGCCCTAGGACCTGGGTTAACTTAGCACAATCTCATCAAGAGCAATATTGACAAGTTGTTGAACAGCAAGCTTGGGTAGCCCGCCTACCTCACTAAGCAGCTTCACAACTGCCTTGTTCGCCTCGCCTTCTCTGGCCTGCGCTGAGACGCACAGCTCGACGGTCGCGTCGGTCACGGCCGTGACGCCCTCGCGAACTCGAGATGCACCCGGCTTAACGTGGCATTGCAGGAAGAGGGTTCCAAGGGGAGACTTCTTGGTTCCTGCGACGAATCGAAATGCTGTGCTTGCCATGGCGTGAGGTGGTTCGACGACCCGAGGCACGAGGTAAAGTTTGAGTGAGATGTTGTGGGTAAGGTTGTGGGGAAGTTGGTGGATTTGGATGACGAAACCTAAACTCAGGCCTCCGAAGAACGCTATTGGCGCCTGTAATTGCAAGCGAGCACCGTCAGAACTCTGAATGCATCTTGCTGCCCACCGACGAGTGTGACCCAGTTTCAGGTGCAGATAAATTAAACCGCCAACCGAGGGGGCGGGATGAAAAAGTGATAGTTGACACAACTTTGCCGATCAATAAGCTTAACCCCGACTTCAAGTGTTGCTCTGCAATCTCTCACTACCTGGCTCACTGCGTCATATTACATCGAAAGATATCATCAGGGACTTAGTGTGTCTTATTCTCTATATAGTAGTGAAATGTCTGTGTTCATGATTCAATCTGGTATTTCCATCGCCGCTAGACATTTTATTCGACTTTTCCAACCTGTTTTCGCTAGTCGCTAGTAGTAAAAGAAATTCAGTGTTTACAAAGAAGCTTGCTGTTGGGACTGGCGCCCGACGCTGGGAATGTAAGTCTCCTTTTTGGGAGGAAGGGTGCGCAGCTCCTTATCCTGGAGCTTGGCGAGGCGGTTCTCAGCCATCATCCTCTTGGTGGTAATTCTCTCAGGGTAGTTCCTGAGGAACATGTTTGTGAAGTGAGTGCCGTAGTGGATGCCCTCCTTGGGGGACTGACCGACGTCGTAGCCGGGAAGGGGCTTGGCGACGGCCTGAAAGCTGGGCTCGTGGAAGTAGGCGAAGGCGAAGCGATCACGAGTGTTCAGGCCGACCTTGTGGGGGGTGGAGGGCAGGTAGGAGTTGGTGATGTACTGCATGATGTCGCCGGGGAAGACGGTGAAGACGTTGGGGACGGGAGGGACGTAGTGCCACTTCTCATCGTCCTCCTTCATACCAGCCGCACTCTTCTCCCAGTTGGCGTAGTGCTCACCGTCATAGGGAGGGCGGATGAAGAGGCCTACAGGTCATGTCAGAATGTCGTGGCGAGGTGTACATCGGGTTATATAAACTTACCACCAACGTCGTCCTGGGCGGCAATAACGAGCAGCCCGTAGTCAGTGTGGGAACCAATACCACGGCCCTCCTTGCCCTTGCCGTTGGTGTTGTGCGTGGGAGGGAATCTGTGACCGAGTCAGCAAATGTTCTTGGAGTGAAGTGGTACATCGTGGGGTGTGGCTCACCTAAGGATACGCATGTGGTGCCATCCGTCGGCAGTCAGGTTGGTCAAAGATCCGGCGGGGACGTTGAGACCGAGCTCCGTAAGCTGGAGAAGCTTCTCTCCACTTTCACCAAGGTACTCCATGTAAGTGGTCATGGGCTGCTTCATCTCGTAGTCAGGCCAAGGGGCCGGGCCATGGCAGGGCCACTTTGCGCGGACACGGGGCTCAGCAAGGTCCAGGTCCTTCGTCACGGTGAAGATCTCAGAGTAGTCGGCAATGCCATCCGTGATCTCCTCACCGGAGGCGATGTAGCCGGCATAGCTCTGAGAGTCGACGCAAGCAGCCTTCTCGGCGGGAGGCTTGGCGAAGAAAGCTTTGCTGGAAGCAGTGGCCTCGTTGAAGATAGCTTGCTGCTTGTCGTTCATGGAAACTTGAAGGATACCATCACGGCGCCAGGCATCGACGAGGGCCTTTCCCATGGCAATATCACCTTTGCTGCCGGTAACGCGTTCTGGGAGGGTAAATGTCTCGAGCTGGGCAACCGTCGCCTTGTGGCCTGGCGGCATCGTGGCGGCCATCTTAGCGAGGTTGTTGTCTTGAACTGTTGCCAAGGGGCGGGACTGAGTAAGGGCAGCCGGCTTCCGCGCCCCGCGGGCCAGCTTGCTGAGAGTCTTTGAGATGGCTGACATCTTGGATGGTTGTGGTCCTCAGGTATCTTCGTATGCTCTGTGTGAAAAGATAGTTCTACGAATGAAGTGCTTTGGTGTGTGATGCTCGAGTCGGACTACTCCTTCCCTCTCTGGTCACCAAGGTCTTTATACCCGGGGGGAGAAGTCCCAGGGCTGGCCGTGATGACCGCCAAGCGGCCTTGGGGTTACAATTCACATGCTGTAGACGCAGTGTTACTGTCTCAGGGCCTTCGGATACAGCTTTAACTTTTCTCGGAATTGACGAGGTATGTTCATTTCTTATACTCAAAGTTAAATCTCTCACGATGTATGGCTTGGAGAGGCGGTGTTTTGGGTCTCGCCGAGATTTCAAGCGTGTAAAGACGGGCATTGTGTGCTGTACCAGGTAAAGCAGCCGACGTAGAGAATCCTTTTAGACGACGATGCTTGGCTAGGTCAGGGTCAGGGGCTCAACGTGTTGTCGACGTGCGGGAGTGGAACCTAGTCGATGGAGTTGAGCAAAGGCCCACTGCATTGTTGCAACCGATATTCCTCATGAATCGAGTCAAGAGGACTACAATTGCACAATAGCCCTTGCTGCATTCTTGCAGGAGTGTGTCCCTGCCACGGACGGACAGTTGTCGGCCATTTCAACACAAATCATCCCACCGGTACATAAGCGAATGCAAAGATGACGCTTGATGTAGACGGACATTGAGGTTGCCAGTTCGCCGTCAGCTATGGTAAAAGAGGTCTTGGCAATATCGAATACAGTCCTTCTCATTTTGAAGTCGAGCTAGTTATGTTGAGCCACAGTCATATCAACGACTCAGGGGACGAATCAAGAGTCAACAAGCAAGAACAGGAAGTGCTCAAAGCTCCAGATGCATTAAGCCGCAAGTCTTGGGAATGACTTGTCTTGGCAAGCTGGGCAGAATGTGGCAAGTGCGTCCATGTTGACAACTTGCGGCGTGCCGAGATTCTGGACCCCTGGAGCACATTTCGCGGCGTCTTAGTCCGCAGTGATACTGTTGAGGTTACCAAATAGGGGGTCCGCCAGTATTTAGACTTCGATACCTAATCGCTCCTAAGGGGCGCGCCCCGGTCAATACGAAAGTGTAATAAACAACTCACGACTGGGGTTGGGCAGACAAAAGCCCCAGCTCTGAGGTTTCGCGGTCGGTACCAGAAAACCGGGTTATCAATACTGTTTGCCGGCGCCAACAGCGGAAATGCTGACATTCCTTAGCTGCGAGTCATTATTCGCATCTTCAACGAGGATGGGATGTCTGCCCAAGCTCAGACCTGGGTTCTCGAGTTCTCGAATCCAAGATGCCGCTGCCACTGATGTCCAGTAGTCTTCCCCGGACAACACCTGAGTCATTACCCGTGGGGGCCCAGAATGCGAGCCGGTTACAAAGTAATGATTCGTGAGATCCATCTTTTCACGATCCACTGCGCCGGCCCCGATGTTAGACTTGCCCCTTTAGGAAGCAAATGCGGTGGCTGCGCACGCACATTCGCATCGCCAATTTGAAATGTGGCCTTTGAAATATCCGTCGTTCGTATGGGATTGTCGAGCAGAAGAACTTCCCCATGGAACACACCAGTCACTAGGCATACGTCATGAATAAAGAACCCTTTTACCCCAGCTCAGATGTAGATGAAGTGCGAGTGTCTTTCTGCTTAGGCAGAAGAAGTTCATTTGTTTCCTATGAATGTTTCACAGCTGAAGAGACTGATTGGTCACGGAAATCTGTCGAACCGCTGTACTGCTGTTGAGGTTCCAATGTGAGCAGGGGCGATGCTGGCGAACTCTAAAAGACCCGGGTACTTTTCCAGAGAATATGATTGGATCAAGCATCAAGATGGCAGGCATCAGCTTCGGACGGCATTTTCGTTTCAGATCTGACCGAGAATTTTGTTGTTCGCATACGGTCATTTTTCCGTCAAGTAGAACAACTAGCGACTAAGAATAGCGACTTAGGCACTTCACACCGAGCTGAGAAGTGGTAATTGGAAAAGATAGATACTATGCTCGAAGTGATGTTGCTCTACGAAAACAAAACACCACAGGTCGATGACCATCATCAAGGGTTACTAAGGTCACCGGCCTCAAATTGAAAAGGACAGCCGCACGTGGAGTACAGACGAACCCCTACTCGTTGGAAAAGGTAGAAAATAGGGACTGTGGCCAGAATGTGTCCGGTCACCGGCCGATCCGGGCCTCCAGAACATATGGAGAACCGCGAGCCGCGGAACCGGGCACCCCTACCACGAAAACCGGCACGTCATTTACCGCAATTTCCAATACGACGGATCCTGCAATTTTCGCACCGTCTCACGGTCTCGGTTTCTCTTGAGGACACTTCGCAAAAACCACAACATTTCATAATATCGTCAACATTTTGCTTCGTAAATCTGTTCGTTTTGCGGCCAGGACACAAAACATGTGTGGTAAGATCAGAGACGGCTAGAACCGAACCAAATCGCCGTCAAGATGAGACGGATCTCGCACCATGGGAGCAACACCTAGGGACTCCCGGGTCCAGCAGGTTTCGGACTAGGTTTCCGTGCGAGCCCTGATTCGCTGCCGCTGATGACAGCAAGTCAGGCTTTACATAATTGTTCATAGAAGGCAACTAGAACCTCTGTCAAGCAAAAGTATAGGCACTCGACCGAAAACCGTCCGTCGGTCAACCGCCGAGACAAGAGTCAAGAAACGCATTCGCATTGTCGGCCAATGGGCGTAGTATGCAGCGCAACTCCGCTGCAAGAATGCAACCTTTAGACTTGCAACATCAACTGTTGCCATTGTGGATGCTGGCTGACCACCTGGCAAGCACATCATGTCTGACCCTCAGTTCGGTTGGTAGTGCTCGGCGCGGGTCGAAGATATCGCATGATTACGGGAGCATCTGGTTCCACAAAGGACCACCGCGGGTGTCCAAGCTTACCGCCTCCTGACTGACAATGCGGATGTTTTGATGGGGTTACGGGTATGAGATTCGACTCCATCGAGTGGAGGATTACCCCAGGATATCTGGATGGGCAAGCGATCGACCGTGAGCCTCCCAAGAGACATTACTCGAGAATTTCGAGATACTGGAAGTTGATGCATTACTCAAATTTTGTAGAACGAACCACTACTCGTTGTATCGTGAGATTGGTAACAAGATTATAGGAGGCACTCGACATGAGGTGGTCTTGGACCAATTAGGACCGGGCATAGTCTTCCCAAAAGGGTTTCAATACCCGAGACATACCTCACAGTGCTAACAGATTTGGCCAAGGGTTCAAACATCACAGTCTTACGTACACTAGTTGCGATATCAAGGTTCGCCGTAGGGTACCAATGCACGGCAGGCACGTCACCTGAGTCGAGGAATTCAGAAAGCAAATGCTCACTGCATGAGATTGTCACAGGCCGAAAACCACGTTACAGTCTGGTCAGCGGTGAGTGGTGAGAGGTGAGGAGGTAGGTTTGACATCGAATAGGCCACTGAGCTGGTAAACGGCGGCTAATTCGCTGATGCCTGTTTGAACTTCCACCTATCGCGTTGTTGCTCGTCTTTGTCATCATATCAGAGCTCGTGGGACCGAAATCGAGGGTCCATCTGTCTCCTGACTCAGGAGGTCGGGGGGATAGGAGCCCAAGCATGGCCACAAGTAGTGGAGTACACAAAAAGTATATTTCAACGCTCTAGGACTCGGATTCCACGGATCGCTTAAGAAGAGGCATTTCTTGACCGGAGCGGGTAGAACGCGAGACACGCAGTCCATACTTATGCGCATGGAAGTACGGATAAACTGCGACTACTTCAATACCTCTGCGGATCCAGGCGACCCTTTCCTTCGAATCCATAAGCCAGTTCCAACATTGAATTTCCGATTTCCCGGACCGACGGCTCTTCGAATGAAACCTTGATGGACCTGCGAATCCTACAGTAGCTAGGCTCCCAGTCAAAACGATGAAAAAGAGCTCTTGCAAGTTGGAATTACGTTGCCTGCATAACTGCCGTGGTCGCCGCGCTGAACCCTTGTCGCGGATATCTCGTGTGGAAAAAGTCGAACTTCAGCTCTTTCTTGATCGTTTCACTATCTTGCTGTATAAAAGCAAAATCAGATTCTATAGTCGAAGTTCTTGTTGATATCTGTCGTGTGCAGCCACTGCAAGAAGCTCTATTCTTGTCAGTCGTAAGGTGCAAAAGGCGCTTGAGAACGACGCATACATTAAAGTCAGTCCCAGCCAAGTACTTTTGTGCTAGTAATCGCGCATCTAAATGACTGGCTTCAGCTAAGCATCTTGAAAGCCTGCATGATACACCAGACTTCAGAGTTTAGATGCTACAACTTTCCGTGCCGAGATACGATGCGCCTAAGCTAAACCAATGTGCCGGATTGAATGTTAACCAAGGTACCCTCCTGTTAGATTATTCGAACGTCTCAAATGCCATAGATCAATTCCTGTCATGTTCACCATAACTGTCATGAAGTCATTACTTAGGTCTTTACCGGGAAAGAAAACTGAATGGATCTTATACATGGTATCATGGTGTTTTAGCGACCATAACTTTTCAGCAAATGTGCGGTCTTATTCGGGTTTGTCGCAGCCACGAACTTCCATGTTGCAGTGAGCCACCACTGACGAATGACGCATGGGTTGAAAATATTCTGATCCATTAGATATCATAGCCGCGAACCGTCCGCGTATCGAGAAATGCCCGAGCTCTCGATCTTGCCGTCGAATAAGACGAAATCGCGAATCATGGTATTTTGAAGATGGAGGGGTGCCAAGACTCGAGAAACTCTGCAAACCAGGCCTGTGCTTTATCCAGACTCGCGTGCTGCCCAAATTTCCACGTGCAACTCACGTTGCCAGGACGAGCTTCTCGAGAGACTTTCTGCTGTCCAGATCCCCGGCCACGTGCCTCCGGGCAAGCTGGCACATACTTTTTCTGCTTGCAGGTCATGAAGCATACATACTCTAGGCGCCAGAAGTTTCCAGACAAACTCAACTTCCAGATGAAGAGTTTCGATTGGCGGATAGTATCGTCTACACGTTGGTGTGATGTGCCGCTCTCGCTCCTCATTGCATGGCCGGCGCCGGTAGTGACGGTGAATCCGGCCCCGGGCTGCCCCACACTCGGCCGCACGCTACATCGGGTACGTTCTGGAACGCGAGCTATTCGGACGACAGAAAATCGTAGGTTTTAGCCAAAAGATTGCATTCCAAGAAGCTGGTATTGGCTGAACTTACTGCAGGTAAACGGTCGGCGCGCTGCCCGAATCAGACCAAATCTCGAAGGTGTTGTAAGAATGGATTCCATTATTCAACTTTTGGGTGATTACGCCCGCTCACATTACCTAATAATTAGTCTGGGAAGAAGCGCTTCCCCAATGATTCGCGCGCTATGAGGTGTGATACCCAGAGGCGGCTCCGGTTGTCTCAGAAACATGTTCAAGCAAAGACTGTATGTATTGAGCATGTGACTACAAAAAGTCCAAGGCGATTTTTGCCGAAGCCTATGGCGCACTGCCTTCCCTACGAGCCATTCTCATAAAGCGCGTTCAACGATTCGCCTTTTAATTGTTGCCTACCGACCACAGATTACATCAATAACAAAGCTGAGGGCACCAGATAACGTGGTAGGAGTTACCTACGAGATTTGTCCTATTGCATTTCTTATCAAGACAGAAATATTGAAAGGTACTCTCGATGCAACTATTCTCGATGCAATTACTCTCGACGCAACGGGTTACTTGCGGGCAGTATACTCACTACATATCTACCGATATTGCCTGCATGCATGAAATACGGTGCATGATGCTTATTTTGGTGGTGTCTGTTTGATACCCAATGACGGGTGGAGCCTATGTTCTTGATGAAGCAACACATGTGTAACCTTGTGTGATGTATGCCGAGTCGCCAACGTTGGGGTTACGCTGCGTATTTTCTGTGTTGTTCTTGTGTCTGCGTTCTGCGGGGATATTTCCTCCCTGCTTCTTGACAAAAGTTCATTCAATTTTCACAGCCTCCCATCATCGCCATCTTCTCTCCTTCAAGGGCCGCAATCCAATCTTCCAGCCTCTCTTCAATGAACCATTCCAAGTCCCACAGCTCCTCAGAAGGTGACTCTTTGTGACCATACTGCGGGTGAATCTGCGTTTCCACGATTTCGCGGGCGCAGTGAGAACGGCTTGAACGTCTTTGACTCGGTAAGTCTCATCGTCGAAACTTTCGAGGTTTCTTCTCTGTGACTGCGTCATTGACCGTACGACATAGCCATTGATCGATGCACCATGTTTCTTGACGGGCGCAGGACAATTGCAGTTGTTCAGTTTGTGGAGGACGAAATATTTGACTATGGCGGTCTGGATGAGCTGTGAAATCTCATCCACAAGAGTCGCATCGCCAATCAGAACCCAGGCCGGCAGAGGTTTGGCACAGAGGGGCCCGTAAATAAAGACCGGCATCGACGATGTCTCCATGATTTCTTCGTTAAGGAATTAGTTGCCTGAGTCCTGTGATTGCGTATGCTGTTCGAGCTGTTCGAGATCTTCGGCTTGTCCGCGTCGATTGTCGCAGAGTGAGGCGAGGGTTTTGAAAGAATCACCTGCTGCCCTTCAATCAGTGTGACCGCAGGCGACGTGATTATTCCAGATCAAGGTTGCCGCTCAGATCGAATCGAATCTACCTCCGAAAAGTGATTCATATTTGTGGCAAAGGTCACTTGCAAAGTTTTATAACAAGAGGTCCTAACCAGACGGGGCGCACAGCTTCCTGAGGCCACACAGGTAGCACATTCATGTACTACCACCAGAATTCGCTCTACTCAAAGCCCAGCCTATGAGTATGAAAAGCGATGACTGAGCAGATGAAAAGTGAACTGTTCGAGGCCGACCGATCAAAAGTCTTGCCCATGTTAGTGTGCATACGGCACATAGTGAACAATAAATAGTCTTTTCCTCGTTTCTCGTTTCCAAAGATGAAGGCGAACGAAGCATAAACAAGTCATAATGGGATTCGGCAGTAATAGAATACGCTGATCACATCTATGTGTCAAATGTGACACAAGGGTGCTTAGTATATTGGATAATCCAAATTATTTCGGTCCTACCAGCAGTCTCGGACGTTTAACTTGGAATGTGGCTACAATTTTCGACGTTGGGCTTTTCTAGAAGATTATCAAATAAAATCAACGTTGGACTGCATGGAATTGTGAGAGCGAAAGCGAAAACATCGCGCAGCGCCTTGTCTACGAAAATGCCACCACCCAAGGACTCACAATGTAGTACAAATCTTAAGGTATGGAAGATTGACACACGATATCATGAGATATAATCCCTTCTGTGCACGTCGGAGCGAATGCAATCTTCAGTTTCGACTCGGACCAGCCACTACCATCGTTGATCATTGTACCTTTCAATATGTTCAAATGCATCAGTTGTTGAGCCTGCCTCCAACGAGTAACCGTGCAAGAGACAAATGAGTGCCCTTCAGGTATGAGTGGCTATATTCATACATACTCGACTGACACTGAACTTCGGCGCTGAATCATTGGCCAAAGCACGCCCTTGACCAGGTCTACAAAGAGTATGGAAGTCCAGCAAGTCTTCACACATTGTCATTAAGATAGCCAGCCATGGCAGTCCATGGGGAGTCATGGGAACTGGCCGAGACTCATGGATAGCCAATTGTCCCGCCAGGATGTCTGCAGAGTCTCCAGCGTTTGAATCAACAGTGGCTTGCATTTTGCGGCCCGGGGCTTCTTACGATTATTCCTCATTCGTTGGCGTGCTGGTACAGGAAGCATGTAAATGTAGCATGGCAAAAGAGCGTAGGACATTTACGAGGGTTGCGGGCTGCGAAGGTCTTTCAATCTTTCTCGATGAACGTCATCTCTGGCCCCGCCATCATGGGCGCATATGTGCAAGTTTCGCATGACTATTATCGAGGGCAACCGAGACCGAATACCTCGCAAGGGCTCGTAACAAGGCTTCTGATGGACTAATGTCGTTCTACGGAGCGTTCCGAATGGAGCCAAGAGGGAAAGTTGAAGTTATAAAAGCCCCTGAAATACCCATGGGAAATGGGAAAACCTATCGCTTGCATTGCGAATGAGCGGGTGATCCCCTTGCGACTGAGCCAAACGAAATCAATCAATCAACCCGTCTACCTGAGACGGAAGCACCGGGAGGGCTCGTGCTTGACAGGTCAAGCTTTTTGTTTGGAAAATCATCTTGGCTTCGCTGCGTAATGGTTCCCTAGACATGATTCAGTCAGCGTTATTTGGGAAAGGTTCATCCTGGCGAGTCAGCCAACCGCAACGGAAACCGAGCCTGCAGCAATTTCCGACTTAGGGGAAACACCATTTTATACTTTCTTTCTATATTGAATCCCCACACTCAGCGGCCATTCTCAACTCACCAGCTGCAGACATTGATTGATGCGATCTTCGCCTTGGCCGCTGACTTGGCGAAGCCTTGTGCCGCACTGCCGCGTGTCTAACCCCAATGATCCACTGCTTGGCTCTCCGGCCAATCTCCTTGGCGATTGCCAGTGATTGCGATGGGCTGACGGGAAACCCAACTTCAATTCGTTCCCAAGGTGCCGGATTGTGGGCAAGGGGGGCGAAACTCACGCAGCCCCGCCGCCGGGTGCCATCACATCGTCAAGACAAGAATAGGCACTCTGTTATTGAGGTCGCGGCAGCCTTAAGATGCGACCATCCCGCTCCCGTCCCGTTGGTTCGATCTTAGTCTTCAGCGTCTTCAACGCATCTCTGTCATTCGTTCACTACACTAATCAGACCGTCTCAATCTCTGTTTGAGCTACCACATTCTTTTGATACATAATCTCACTCTAATAATGTTGTTCAAGTCCGTTGGCCTGGCCTCTTTGGCCGCTCTGGCCGCTGACGCTGCTTGCGCCAGCGCCACGAGATCTCCTCGTTATGTCATGTACTACGACCAGTAAGGCTCACCAAGAATACCCCCAGCTGTGGAATGTGCTAACAAGCCCCCAAAGGTACCACACCTCTGGCATTCCTGACAAGTCTGTCACGTCTGGCATCACTCACGTCATCACTGCTTTCGCCAACTCTTCTCTTTTCGCCTCCGAGCCCGCCGGCGAGTACAAGCCCTTCAAAAACCTGACCGACATCCGTCCTCTCTTCGACAACGGCACCAAGGTGTGCATGGCTATCGGCGGCTGGGGTGATACCGATGGCTTCAGCCTGGGCGCCTCTACGAACGAGAGCCGCAACAAGTACGCCAAGAATGTTGCCGCTGCTGCCGTCAACCTTGGATACGACTGTGTCGGTGAGTTGATTGTCTTTTGTAGACGTTTCGTGAATATGGCTAACGAATAACCCAGACGTCGACTGGGAGTACCCCGGTGGCAACGGCGCCGATTACAAGCAGAAGCCCAACGGCAACAAGACGGCTGAGATCAACACCTTCCCTCTGCTCCTATCTGCCATCAAGACTCAGCTCAAGCACCACAAGATGGAGCTCTCCGTCACTGCCCCTGGTCTCAAGCGCGACATGATTGCTTTCACCGCCAAGACCATCCCTAAGATCAACGCTGCTGTCGACCACTTCACCGTGAGTAACAAACACAACGTAACTTTAAAGAACATCCATGCTAACGGCATCAGGTCATGACCTACGACTTGATGAACCGCCGCGACAACACTACCCGCCACCACACCGATATCAAGGGCTCTCTTGAGTCCGTCGACACCTACATTTCCCTTGGCATCGACGCTGCCAAGGTCAACCTTGGTTTCGCCCTGTACGCCAAGTGGTTCACCACCGCGACTGGCGCCAACTGCACTTCTCCCATCGGATGCCCTACCGTCCTGCTCGAGGCCGCTGACGGAACTGACACCGGCAACTCTGGTGCCGTCACCTTCGAGACTGCCAACTTCCAGGAGGCTCCCACCAACCTGACCACGTCTACCGACTCTTCTTGCGGCGCCGGTACTTTCTTCAAGTGCCCCACCGGCAGCTGCTGCAGCCAGTACGGCTTCTGGTAAGTCAAATCACCCATCTTCATGGGAGAAATCTCGACTAACATCATTGCAGCGGTACTACTGCTGCCCACTGCGGTAACGGCTGCCAGTCTGACTACGGTATCTGCAACGGCACCTCCACCCTCAGCTCCTTCAAGACCGCCATGGCCAACGGCTACACCGACGAGGTCAACGGTGGCCAGTGGTACTGGGATCCCGCCGGACCGTTCTTCTGGACCTGGGACACCCCTGCCCTTGTCACCCGCAAGTTCAACGACATCGTCAAGGCCCGCGGCCTTGGCGGTGTTGCTGCTTGGAGTTTGGGCGAGGACTCCTACGACTTCAGCCTCCTCAAGGCCATCCAGGCTGGCGTCAGAGCTATGGTCTAGAGAGCACGGTAGCAGCATTTAGTGTAGACTGTTCATAGCGTCCTGTGCTCGAGCGATCTTGACCTCATTTGAGAGTTTCACCCATTGGACTGATCTTAATTATACCACATCTTCGATCAGATACATGAGTTTTGTCCCCGATGCAACTTGCAACACAGTGACACGTCTATGTTCTCAACGACGTTGACACAAGGGCTTGGCTCAACTGTAGTTCAGTTGGTTAGTCATGATTCACTTTCTGCCTTTCTAAGCAAGAAGCAAGATGACGTACACGATGTGGTGATGACCGATCAGACTGATTGCAGGAGGGAGTAACATCAGACGCATACAGCTCCAGTCATGTTTGAACTGCACAACACAACGCACATGGAGCTTACGCAATGCGCACTGGTCGCATGCGCGTCGAAGATCCGATACACGGCGCGCGCTGCAGCGCTTTCAGATGTTTGGAGGACTTCTCGCAACCCACACTTTCACCACTGACAAATATTGTGCCAAAGATCGAGAATTCTTGAAGTGAAATACTTTGTTTCTTAAACTATCAAAGTTTTGGAGAATTAAATACTAGTCCTGTCAGATCCAAAACTTCAACATAACTCCAACCATCTATTTATTCATGTCATTCAGCCATAACGTCAGAGCCTATCAACTGTTCCCTTACTTGGGAACAGGGAGAGGGAGAGACTTGGTACAGTCGGTGAGGTCGTTAATGTTGTCAACACCGAGAAGACTGAGACGCAGGTATTCCCTTGAGAATGCCTATCAAACATTAGATGTTATGTCAACGTAATGAGATAATGTCTGAACAAAAGGACATACCACGTTCCAGGCAGGCTGGCTGTCAGCGAAAGCCTTGAAAGCCGGTCCACTACGAGAGTCCTGGGAAAGAACCTTGTCGCTGTTGAAAGTGAAGACGTTGGAGGGAGCACCGGCCAAAGTCTGCGAATAGAAGAGGGTATCCCAGACGGCAGGGGTGGTATCCTGGGGAGCTCCGGCGCGAGCAGGGTCAACAGTCTTCTGGGTGGAAGCGGTGTGGGCACCGATGAGGGCTGCAAGACCGGGCGGGGAGATGGTCTTGTTGGCG